ACACACCCGAGCTGCCACACGCGAACGCCGCCCACCAGAAGCCGGACAGTCATATTTCAGCTCTCCAGAAGCCGCTCGGTCGGTCCACCGCCCCTCCGAAGTCGCTCATTCTTGCCGCAACCACGCAGAAGCCACCCAGTTAAGATTGCCTTGGAGTATGATCGATCGCATCATTTTCGCGGAAAGAACAATCGTCCAACATCATTCTTTTCGCAGGACTGATCACGCTCGCAGTCCGACAACAATCAGCAGCAACAACAAGTCGCATCTTCAGGTGTTCAGAAGAACAAACCCGAGCCAATGGAAATTAACTCCGGAAGTACTAGAAACTGCCACTTCTCTTTTTCTTCGTTGGCTCGTAAGAGATGTCGCAATTGCAAGAAACCTGCTCATACCAATGAGCAGTGCTTCAAGGTGAAGATCAAGGAGAAGTATGCTCGAAAGAATCGTCACGAGAACTCTGCCGCGAACAGTAATATTTTCTTCTTCATCCACGACTGCCGCTGCTGAGTGTTCCTCTGCGACACGTTTTGATGGCGAGGTTGTGGTTGTTGGAGTGGAAGAGATTTCCACGTCCACCTTGTCGCCCATGCATCGTAAGAATGAACTCATTCGTAAACAAGCGACATGTGATGGGAAGCCTGTCGTCATTATGTTCGACAGTGGTGCTATTTGCAATGTTGTTCGCCCAGGGTTAGTCGCTAACACGACTACTTCTGGTGTTTCACAAGTTACCCGTATCTTGGGATTTCTAAGAAAGTACTTTTGGACACCAGTTCTCTTGCTCTGAGTGGCTACGGTCTGGAATTTTTTTTGCCAATCCGTTGGGTTGTCAACTACCGCTACGTAAACTCGCAGTCGATCGTTCCAAAAATCCCCCTGCCTCGCATTGATAAATTATTTGATCAGATGTCTGGTTGAGTCATCTTTTCCGTTCTCAATCTAGCCCAACGATATCATCAGGTTCGTATCGCGCGCAATACTCGCAAGCATACCGTCTTCCGCACGTATGTAGAAACTTACCAGAGGCGTGTAGACCCTATGGCACTTGTGTCACTTTGACCAATCTAAAGTTACTTTTCTTGGTCATACAATTTCTGCCAAAGGAGTTGCCGCTGATTCTCGCAAGACTGAAGCCACCACAAAGTGGTCTACACCAGTGAACCAAAAGCAATCGCAAAGCTTTTTGGGTCTAAAAGGTTATTACCGTAGTTTTATTTGCGCTTAAGCTGTTCTCGCGTCGCCACATGGTCCTCTAGTCGAGAAAGAACATGTCTTGAACTAGTATCCAGAACAGACTCACTCGTTCGAGGAAACCAACCCGCATAATGAACTACAAGAAGCATTTCATTGAGACAACAGATTCGTCTGGATATTGTTTTGGTGATGTTATCTCTCAAGTTTGTTCAGGTCAAGTCAAGATCATCCAATCACCTTCTTCTCGAAGAAGCTCAGGCCTAACAAGATCATTGATCAACGCACGATAAATATTTTTTCCTTCTCAAGCTAGCGTTGGAAAAATGGCGTCACTACCTGTCTGACTATGAATTCGATATCTACACGGGCAGCAGTGCATGTAAGTGGTTTTTGCAAGACCCAAGGGTCTCGCATAAATTGGCTCGCATTTCTTACTTTCTTCGCGCAGTTCACATTAAAGTTGAACCACGTTAATCGACACCTCAATGTGGTTGTTGATGCACTGTTGGGCTAACCTTCAGAGATTCCGATTAGCACAGTTTTCTTTCATCAGTGTACTTGATGCTGTCATGCCCGTCGAGCTCGCAACTTCGGCGTGTTGCTTCGCACTACCGCAGTATCAACTAACACTTGGTTCGACCACCTTCGCTT